AATCACTACAACGAATGCCTACAACGAAATACACAAGAAACATCATCTTAAGATAAAAGTCTGTTCATGACTGGTCGCAAGGAGAAAGACGTTTGTTGTTGCGCAGCATGAAGAGTAATCAGCCAAATATCTTGAATACAAGTTTAGTTCAATAGATTCAGGATAAAACTGTGCATTTTTCCAGAATTAACGTGCATTATGTAAACTTCTAGGATAAAAATTCGGAAGACTCAGTCCTTGTTCATTTACTGATAACTTACAATCACCATTACTTAAAACCGTCAAGTAACAACACTTTCACAAAAAGGTAAGATTTTGACCCATTCGCTTACTAATAAAACATACTTAGACAGCCTTTCGTACGAGCGGTGAGGGAAATCAAGTGCGTGAAGTTGGAAACCCGTTTAGGGATACTGATAAAGGTTGTTTGCTGATGTTTTCGAATAAGTTTCTGGCATCAAGCGCAAAACTTCGTCAGGAGATCACTCTTCATATTTATTGGTTACTCGATTGAAAGCTGAATTCAGCTTTCATGACTGTCAATTAAATATGCAAACGGAACATGCTAGTTGTAATAAAATATCCAGAATCTCATTAAAGCATGTTGAAGACGGTTGCTCAATTTACCAACCCACGACGAAAAATAATCGAGTTTGAACATAAGCAAGGACACTCATTCGGGTAAAATTCGGCGAACGAAATCCGGTATGTTATCCTGATATCCTTTTCCACGGAAAATTGTGGATTCTTTGGTGCTGCAGTATCATGGGTATTTTGTTTATATCAAAATGGCAAAAGAGATAGTAAGAAATTTAAAAAAAACGTCAGTCTACAAAATGGTTAAATAACATATCTCTAGAGGGAAATTTCTCCGACTAAAAGGCTTAAATTAACTTTTGAAAAACATGGCATGTCCATTTAAAGTACCTTTTTCTATTTTGAACTTCCTTCAAAAAGAATGTGATAAAAAACGTAAGTATTCATTGTAAAAGTTATCAGAAACGGTCACCCTTATACCTGGATAAGTGAAACAACCTGAACAAGCCCTAAACCCATATGAACTACTAGTGAAAATTAGAGTTATCATATTAGGTAACAATGCTAACATTGACGTGGACCGAAATCCAACATGAAATCCGGCTGAATGGAGTACCCTTGAAGTTTGTCAAGATGAGAAGTATAAACACTAGGGATTTTTGAAGAGGTTCATTGTGCTTACTGCTACACATAAAGATATTTATTTGACTTATTAGCCAGTTTGTTTCGAAGGAGTAGGAAAAAACAGGATTTGTAAAACTACCGGTGCTTTCTGAATCAAACCTCACTTTTCATGCAGCCCAAGCCACCTTGATGCGAGGGTGTCTTCTTGATATCGGGGCGTCTGTGGGCTGAGCGCCATACAGCGCACTCAGTACCTCTACATACGTGCGATATGTACATGAATAGCTGAATAAATACCATAGGACATTTGCGAGTATACCTAAGATTTTCGTAAGCTAAAGGACGGTTATATTATCAATGTAATTTCGGATGCATGAATGGGGTAAAACTGTTAGCTTCCTGATGACTCAGTTTAAGTGACCATTTTACATAACACGCATGACAACTCCAGTAAAAGAACGTAAGTGTACTTAGTTTGGCGTAAGCCTACTCAACGTGTCGTTCTAAACTGTTCTTTGATTAAATGTCATCTGAAAAAGAGGTAACTTTCACAAATACATTGCTGAGTAGACTTAGGCATCCGTGACCCCCTCACAGCCAGTAAATTGTGACATCTTACTGCTTGAATTTCGGAAGTCGAACTGCTTAAAGAACAAGGTAAGATTTGTATTTACGTAATCATATTCCAACAATGCAGCGTAACTGATGATTTGTGGAAATATTTCTGTCGCTGAGGAATAATATCAAATAAGGACAACAAAAGTGTTGCCTGTAGCTTAAAAACGAGGCAATATGTATGCACCAGCTAAAGAATGTTTTGTTGCACAGGAGCATAACAGACGACATTTTCAGGCTGGATATATATAGAGAGAAGTTCTCAATAAGGGCTAATTATAGCCGGTTGATTGCCAAAATTGGCTCACAAGTTTTGCGAGATATATTAAACTGTTATGAGCAAACCATTATTTTACGAAACATGTTTAACGTCACTGATAAGTAAATATCGATTTTGAGGGGAATTTCACTTGCGTTGCTTATGAACGGACCGCAAGAAAAACGGGGAGTTATCACGTAATCTGCAAGGTCTAGCTGTACTAAATGTTTATTAAAGCTTTTGAGAGCGATTGTTCAGGGAAGTGATCCTCCGAAAAATCTCAAAATCTCATAATCTTACAAAAACGAACGTAAATCAGTGCGTCAGGTTTCGCGTTTTCGAAGGTTTTTGATGGCCCTCTGGATGTTGTTCCAGTGTTCGTTTCTTTCTTTATCAGTGTTGTTTTTTACGGATGCCTCTGGGTTACCTGTGCAAAAAACTGACACAGTTATACCAAAGTCAGTGGAATTTGCTCGGTCCACTGTTAGCATACGTAATATTAGTTATAGCGCCATGCTAATCTTAATCCCGACGTATCCGTAATTTGTAATAGCAAATGTAATTTTCTTGCCTTGAACACTGTTGGCCATATACTCTTTCGCATTTCCACAAAAAATGGCAGCTTCGGCATGCCCCAAAGAAGGTAGTTATGATTCTTGGCAGTGTGTTAAAATATTGAACAAAAACAGCAGACCTGTAAAAATGTCATCAAAACCAAAAATATGAAAAGATCTTCAGCAAAAACAACTTCCTAGTCCGATTTATGTGTTCATATACATATATGACTATATAGTTTTAATTATAGTGACCATTGTAGTTTGTTGAAACACAAATAAAACTTTTGAACTTAACCAACCTTAAAACTGACTTCTTGTTGCGATGGACTGTAACACGAAAGACGTGCGGCATGCAGTATTTTTTGTGATGCGCGATTCGGACAATTTGTGTTTTTGTTGCTCGGTTTATTCTTAGAAATGCGCTATCAGCGCAAAAAAGCGTTCGTTTACCAGATGTGTCATGATAGTCGTTGTTTGTGATTGTAGAACGCATTTGCAGCACAAAATCAAAGGAATGTGTATATCTAAACAGGGACCAAATCGATAAAGAATAAACCATTCATTTGAAAACCTTCGAACTCAGGCCTGTAAAATAGCGACCATAAAGTTACTAATCAAGGCTGATGAATTTGGATATGTCCATGTGGAAAGGTCCATCCTATTGATGTGGTAGTCAGTAAATCCGACCCATTGTCATCAACAGTTAATGACAGTACACAGAATTATATGAGTCTTCATGGTAACAGACGGGATATGGTGCTTCCGTAAAGTCAAACAAGGCCAGACGTCCCTCATAGGAACATGGGAGGCACCGGTCACTAAAATGCAAAATATTCTAAAATCGCTCCTGGCTCTGTTTGAAGAACAAAGCCTCCAAAATGAAAATTTATTACTGTACCCAGCTGCTTATTAACTCACATCTGTTTAGTACATCTGAGGCTCAATAATATAATTTTTGGGGGATATTTTGCCTCAGTAGTTATTGTCACTTTCAAAGTGTACGCGTATACGCTGCGCGTGTATACTTCTATTTCTATGGATGTTTTTATTCACTTGTTTCTTTTGCCACTTCAAAAACCTAAAGCGTACGTCAGTCATAATCGGCATTTTTGAATAGCCCTTGGATATGAGCCAGTGATTTAAATATAACTTGAGTGAATCTGTGACAAACATTTACAGAGAGAGGCTTTATTTGTGGCTTTAATCTAAACGTTAATTCCGCAAAACTTTACGTGAATTACGTTCCAATTTGACAAGTACCAAAATGCAACTACGACAGTAATTTGATGTTAGCTAATTATCTAAAAAACGGATGGAGTCATTACCATGAAATTAAAAAGTTCGTAAGCACAAGACCTGCGCGTCATCTGTATCTTAAAATGGCTCAGCAGTAGCAGTCGGAAAAACTGACCTGCGGCAATTATTTCTAGGTGAATGTATAGATGATCTATATGCCGTAAATATTTAGAATTAAACTAAGTATACTTTACAAAAAGACCGGTTGCATCTGCATTTGGAATCGTGAGCAACATGCATTTCATGGAACCAAGAAGCTTTCCAACCCACGTCCTTCCGGCCCGTATTTAAACATTTAACCGTTAAGCCACGATCAACAGGTCAGCAGCACGGTTTGCTCACTGACGAACTGCTGTTCGGCGCTGATGACTAACCGGTTGATTTTATAGCCTACTGGCCAGGAAATCTTGGGTTCGCGGCTCCCCGGGGCTTCGTGAGACACGCACTGCTGATTATTCCCAATGGAGATGAAAAGGCTGTACAGGTTCCTTGGGTAGGTTGCCTGAAATCACAGGGAAAAACCTCAATAAGATGGTGTAGGTTGGATGTTGGTCTGTTCGCCGAGCTTGGCAGTTGAATTGCAAACGTTTCATCACCAATCGAGGTGACATCGTCAGTGCAGGGTTGAGTGGGTGAATTCCTCCTCTTCTGCCTGTGATTATATAGCTTCTAAACAGTATCTGGTAGTTCTGGAAACAATCGTCGTGCTGTGATTCGGTCGTTTCCTTCTTGCTTTGTGGGGTGGGTTTTGCTCATTTGATTGGCCTTCTGTTTTTCGTGGTTGCCTTCCTTTGACCCAATTAGTCCGTTGGTCGCCGTTAGGTTTCTTAGCTCCGAGTCACGTGACCGTGTGGTTCTTTCGACCGTAACGGCTGATAGACTGGGTCAATGTCGATGTGTTTATTGATCGATTTTTGTGTGGAGTACCACGCCTCGGCAAATTCTCGCTCCCGTTTTGTTCTTGCGTGAGCGAGTATTTGAACATTATCCCAATTGAACGTGTGTCCTTCTCTGTCTTCGTGGATTGAGGCGAGTGACATTGGGTCATGTCTTCCACTGGCAAGCTTGTGTTCGTGTATTCTCGTAGCAAGTTTTCTTCCAGTTTCTTCCAGTTTCTGCATTGTAATTTCCGAGATGACATCAGGCCGAAAATATGGGCACGATATGTGGATGACACATTCGCTGTTGTGAAGAAAAGTGAACTACTACGAGCGGTGGAACTGCTGAACAACGTGTTTCCCGACATCCAATTCACAATAGAAACTGAGGAGAACAACAAATTGGCGTAACAAGGACAACAAACGACCAACTACAAACTGAAGTGTACAGGAAAGAAACGCATACGGACCAGATTCTGAATTACCACAGCAACAATCCGAACTGTCACAAGCGGAGCTGTGTTCAAACTCTATTCAAGCGAATAGAGACACATTGCAACACAACAGAGGCGAAGAAAAAGGAAGAACGAAGACTCTTCGAGACATTCCGAAATAACGGCTACGCGAGAAATTTCATATGGAGGTGCTTATGAGACCAACACCAAGCTGGTCCGTCAACACAACCAGAACAGAGGAAGATTACGCTGCCGTATATCAGAAATGGGGCGGAGCTAACTGCACGACACCTACGGCAACATGGAATTGCAGTCGCCTTTAAGCCTACAACACGTCGAGAAGAACCCTCTCGAAACCAAGGGGAAGTTTGAATGCTTTGAAGAAAACTAATGTGGTCTACAAACTTGAATGCACCGACTGCGAGAAACATTATGTTGGCCAAACTGGAAGAAAACTTGCTACGAGAATACACGAACACAAGCTTGCCAGTGGAAGACATGACCCAATGTCACTCGCCTCAATCCACGAAGACAGAGAAGGACACACGTTCAATTGGGATAATGTTCAAATACTCGCTCACGCAAGAACAAAACGGGAGCGAGAATTTGCCGAGGCGTGGTACTCCACACAAAAATCGATCAATAAACACATCGACATTGACCCAGTCTATCAGCCGTTACGGTCGAAAGAACCACACGGTCACGTGACTCGGAGCTAAGAAACCTAACGGCGACCAACGGACTAATTGGGTCAAAGGAAGGCAACCACGAAAAACAGAAGGCCAATCAAATGAGCAAAACCCACCCCACAAAGCAAGAAGGAAACGACCGAATCACAGCATGACAACCACATACAGAACTGCCGAATTGAATGCACCCAACGAACCAACCGGGCACAGGAGATTGAAACCACGTGAGATTCACAGAAGACAAATCATACTACACGATGACCGTTTCCGGGACTACCAGATACTGTTTAGGAGCTATATAATCACAGGCAGAAGACGAGGAATTCACCCACTCAACCCTGCACTGACGCTGTCACCTCGATTGGTGATGAAACGTTTGCAATTCAACTGCCAAGCTCGGCGAACAGATCAACAACCAAACAGCGCCCCCGAGCTACGTACATTCCGCAACATTGGTAAGATGGTGTAGTGTTTAGCTACTAATTACCAGATTGTTTGCTGGTGAGTTTCCCACAGATGTCGGTGTTCAAAATGTATAGAGACTGCACGACGGTATTCTGGAAAATGCCTTTTCGGTGAAGCAAACACTCACAAAATTGCCACTGGCTAAGAGTCATATAAATATCAAAGTTTATTTCCAGTGCAAACGCTTAATGAGCGTTTGTCGCTGAATCACCATTTTTAGCTCTATAAGCTTCATTTGGTCTATTGAAAACTCTTGATGGGCACAGGGTCAAGATGTGAGTCCGACAGTGTTGCGAAGATGTTGTCCAAATTTGACGGTTGTGTTTTGTTTTACCCGTATCCTTATGTGAGTCTTCGTTTAGCGATTTTATGGTAACGAACTACGTGCATCACAAGGTGTGCAACGTGTGGGTAAATTAGCTGTCAGTCATAATAAAAACTTACCTGCCAACTGCTATTTTGTGTGCTTAAATTGGGCAAATGATGAACTCGCTACCAAAGGTAAGTTTTGAGTTTGTCTGTAAAAAGCATTTTAAATAGTGTATTTTCTTTCGCGAGTGTAAAACCACAAGTAGCAAAGGCATAATTTCCAAAGTTATATATAGTCACACTGCTGCTTAGCACGCGGTAAGATTTTCTAGACTTCTTCACATTGTGAACTATCTATGGCATTCTGCAAATGGGGAATGTAAAGTAATTTTTCAAGTAAACAAACGCCTTTATGCACATTAAGATATTTCAACTGTATAAACAAACAGCCAAGATATATGTTAGCATTCAAAATACAGGCTCATTTTGCTTGTAGTAAATCCGGTGGTATCGAACAGGAGTTAAATGTGCGGTTTAGAATGTATCTTTTAAATGTTTATTCTGCCCTCGAAGAAATATTTAAAAAGATGGTGTGGTAAACATTCTAGCATTTATTCACTCTGAAAACCCATTGGAAACACGCCATGTGAAGGGCCAGCAAGAATTTTATTGTTCCTGTAAATGTCATGAAGAATTTATCAGTATGTTGTGCAGGCACCCCTTCTTGATGAATGCTGATCCATTAAATCCATTGGGAAACTGTTTTCTTATACAACCCATTATTGGTGCTCAAACCGCAGTGGCGTTTATTTTATACTACTGGATTTCGTCCCTATAGAATATTAGCGCTGTAACACTCACTCTGTGGTACATCCGTGAATCAAACAAGTTCGAAACCCTCTTAAAGAAGGTGGGTTATATTTTTGGTCGAGTTCCTCTATACATGGCATATACTGTTTGCAATTTTGCCAATGAAACTCTTCTCCTTAATGAGTGAATGCATTGATGTTTCAGCCATAATCGAGTAACATTCCAGGAGCACGTCATTTATCAATACGAGCAAAGTGCCCTTCTGAAACAATCGTTTTGTAGACCTATATAAGTGTTTAAAGTATCCAGTTGCGTGGTGACCCAATGCCAAGTAGCCCAGATGCGCCCTGTTTGAAAAAAACTTCTGGATAAGAAACATGCTTTATGTTTTGACAATGGTGAAAACAATCCTAAGTTGTAAACAATATTTCACGGTCTGCTATAAAAAACAGGCATATTTTAACTTATCCGAAACCAATTTGGTTAAATCTGACAGTATTTGCTTTTTAGTTAACAAAAGATTTTGCTAAGATGCTCGCACTTAGAAACAGCAGATACTGCTTCGATAAAATTAGCAGGCTTTAAGAAAAGCGGACATTTTCCACATAACTATTTTCAATTTTTTTCACTTCACTTAATGCATTTTTCATCTCAACTTAACGAGCGCACAAAACAGCACGCTTCTTTATTCTGATTTTACCAGTAGGAACAAGTTGTTAAGTTGAAATTTGCTCAGGAAACTACCAGAAATATTGTTCTTCAGTTATTCTTTACAGACTTAAAGTATAAGCATTCAAGATGATCACGCAGTGGTGATTATCGAGCTAGCTCTAACCCTTAGAGGCACGACTTAAGAAGAATAGGCAAAGTGGATGTCCTTTGATTTCTGCGTCAAGCTTTTGCCACTTCTTCCATTTAAAGGTCATATTACCTTGGCATAACTCACACAATGAGTCGTCTAAAAATTCCACTCGTAATATTTGTCTTTTTCTTCCCCATAGCTGGTAATAGGATTGATGGTATGTCATAAATATCGGCTTGTTATCGAACAAATGCTATCAAGCATTGAACGACTTTGGCACACTGAATGCACTCTTAAGCACCTCTAGCTGCATCGTAAACGGGTCGTATGCACTATTCCAAATTTCTGTGTAGAATTATGCGAAACTCTGGAAAAGCTGAAAGATGGCGTGAATATAGTTACTTAAAATGTAAATCCTGGTAAACTAGATAAAATTTGTTTTACCTTTTGCACAAACGCAATCTGTAAATTAGAGTTTTAGCATCTATCAGATCAGTTGTGGTGCTGTTGTATTAAAATTATACTGTCTAAGTGTAGTAACGGTGTTTTCCTCAGCTTAGTTCTCGAGCTGAGCCCCCCAAACTAGCGTTCACGTCAAAACAACTACCAAAGGTGCACAAGGTCTGTTAACGCCCAATACGAAATCAAGAACAGTTGTACAGCGCTTCGTATATATAGCGCAAGCGGTTATAACTTTCTGGAACTTCCGACGCGTTCTGGGGCGCTATTGGCAACCGCCATTTGGCCAATACTGGGTCATGATTGGCTGTTGGGTCCAGATTGTTGACCAACCAGATCTCGACTTGATGCCGAACCGGCAAGCGTCCCGAATTCTGGGCCGACCTTGAGCGGGTCAGGCTTCTCGGCCGTAGCAGCGCCTAAAGATGTGCGGCGTAGTGGGATCCATGTGTATTCCTGCCTAACACCAAGCAAAACAATACACAGGAGACATTTTGTCACAATGATCTCAGCAGTCTTGTGTAAAAGTAGTTAGTGTTCTGTCTGGTAATTGTCATTTAAAATTTCTGCTTGTGAAATGAAAGAACGTAAGTTCATTAACTTACTACTGCACTGAAAACAAAAGTAATACATCGTGCATATTCCGAATGTCCTGGAAATGCACCATTGATAACGATTTGTGGGACTAAAAATATGTTGTTTACGTCCAAACACTCAAGTGGATGAACTCATTAAAAAGGGTAGGTCGTAACTTTGAAACAGTTACTGCTAATAAACTACGGCCACAAGTTGTGTTCAGGTACCGCAAATAAATAAAGGCAAAGCACTAACTAATATCCTTATGCAATATTTCCGTCTAAGTGAACACTAATATTGCTTGAAACTATATTTCCCCTGTTACAGCAATTCTAAGATAAACTGATAAACTGTTGCACCAGAATGGAAATTATTACCTGTTCTTGCGACTATTCATAGCTCTAATATCTGAGTAACTAGTTGTGTCAGTTTCAATTCGCTAATTTACACTGCTCAAACGTTATTCATTCCCTGAGCAAAGCGTTTAAGCCTAATATCCAATTCGCCATTTATTTCCACTACTCATTATTCACTCAAGCGAGTAGGACATTATGACTTTATTTCGCGCAGATTTCGTCAGATAAGTAGAAATTCCGTCGTGTGAGTGAAGCCAGTCCAAGCGGAAAAGCCAAAACGCACATGCAGTTTGTTCCATCTTCATTGGGAATGACACCCAGAAACTTTTGAACCCCCGATCTTCGGGCCAGTAGTTCAACACAACCGTTTAGCCACGAGGAACGGATCGGCAACATGATTTGTTCACTAACTAACTACTGATTAGCAAACATAACGGAATGGTTAATTTTTCACCTAACTGGCCGGAAAGTCGTAGGTTCGTTACTCCAT